GGGCGGCGCTGTTCCGCCGCTCAATCAGCTTCTGAGCTCGAAGCCCGAGCAGCAGCAGCGGCGGATCATTTTGCTCCCAGGAGAGGGGCGGGGCACGCGGGCGGCAGGTGCTATGCAAACCGGAGGGTGTTCTGTGTGCCGCCAGGCGAGAGGCGATGCAAACCCTGCGCGCGCATCCCGCATCGTTCCTGAGCGGGCTTCCTAACGTTACTTTAAAGAAAAAAAGGGCACCGCTTTCGGTTGCTACGGAGGCGGCTGCAGCGCCAACTTTCCAGCCAGGCAAAATAAACGACACCATGTTCGTTTTTCCCGAAGAGCCTTAGTGGGGGGGGGGGGGGTGTCCAAGCGCGTCGTGTCATTTCCCTCCCCTCTTTCAGATCTCATTCTCTTCTTTCTAGGGGGTGCCTTTGTCTCTGTATAGAGTATAGATTCACCTCACCAATGAGACCCTTCGATTTATGGCTATGGAGATTCTCAGTCATCCAGGCCATGACTGAGAGGTGCTCCCCCCCCCCCCGAGGCAACTGGACGTTCTGGTTTTTCTTTGAAGACGTTTCACTTCTCTTCTGAGCAGCTTTATCGGCTCCGACTGGATGGTGGGGAATGGAAGGATTTATGTTCCTTGCACACAGCTGGTCATTCACATTCTGTTTAGAGAGCCATAGGAGGTTTACCTGTCCCCTGGGGGTGTCACCCGAGTAGTGCCTGCATCTCAAACTGAAGCTCAAATGGTCTGCAATTTTTCTAGAAACCCATCCATACTCCCACACCATTCGAAGGGGGTTCATCCCAAAGTGCATAGCTAAATGTCTATGGAGGTTCCCAGTCATCCAGGTCATGGTTGTCGTCCCAAAGATGCTCTATCCAGTCAGAGCTGAAGAAGCTTCTTGGATGAGAAGCGAAATGTCTTCAAAGAAAAACAAGAAAATTGCCTCTTGAAAAAGTATCTTTGGGTCTTTGGTTTACGGGTCTTGGTGTTGTTTTAACCCATGTGTAGTGAGAAAGGAACTCTTCCTCAATTTATATTCACCAACCACTCAGTTGCTCCTTTGGCTTCCACTTTAATCTGTTAGGATTAAAGTGACTTTGGGGTAGTGTTAAGGGACTAGACCCCCCCCCCTTGTTTAAAGCACTAGAAGAAAGAAAAGTCTACACTTTTTAAATAAACTTAACTATCATGAAGATCAGATGGGGAAAAGTCAATTGCTGCTCTGCTCCCTCTGACATTTGTGTGCTCTAGTGGGATCTTATTTGAAAGATACAGAAATCTAGGTGTGAGGTCTCAAATCCCAAGAGAGATCTCTAAGCATCTATTGATGTTAATGGCAAAATGTTTTTCTTAATTATTGTGTTTTCAAGAAGATTGCAGCATGGGAGAGAATCATAAAATCATAGAGCTGGAAGATACCTTGGAGGTCTTCTCATCCAACTCCCTGCCCATGCCGGGGGAACTTCCTGGACAAATGGTTGTCCCGTCTTTTTTTGCTAATCATTACACATGTGGTACATTCCTCCCATAATCCTCACTCCCACCCATGGAAGTTAAAGGTGGATTGTCCACCAAGGTAAATTGTAACACATTTTTAAAACAAGGTGCCAGATGGAGAAGAATTGATGAATATAGGTAGTCCTCAACTTACTACCACAATTGAGCCCAACTTTTCAGTTGCCAAGTGAGACATTTGTTAAGGGAATTTTGTCCCACTTTACCACCTTTCTTGTCACGTTTGTTAAGTGAGTCACAGCACTTAAGTTAATAAAGCAGTTGTTAAGTGAATCTGGATTCCCCACTGACTATCAGAAGGTCGCAAAAGGTGATTTTGTGACATGACCCCAAGAACACTAATTGTCATGAGTCAGTTGTCAAATGTCCAAATTTTGCTCACATGACCACAGGGATGCTAATATGGTCATGTGAAAAATCTCATTAAGTTACTTTTCAGTGCCGTTGAACGGTCACTAAAAGAACTGTTGTAAATCAAAGACCATCTGTATCATCCCTATCTTACCATAGCTTATCTAGAATGTAAAGAGATGGTGTGGTGGGCTGGAGAATCTTCCATTGGTACTAATAGATTGCCTACTAATACAAAAAACCTCCCAGAGATCTTGTAGCCAAAGTCTAATACTTTGTCCCATTATGACAATCAATCTTTGTGCCTGACAGTCACCTGGCAAATTTGCTTGGAAAACACGCATCACATATTGTGCTGAACTGGTCTAACAAACAAACTGATTTCATGACCAAATCCACTCAGAGTTCTCACTTCAAGCACAAATGACCAGACTCAAAATGATCACATTTTGGAAATGTTCTTATCCAGCTAATTTGAGAAGTCCATAGGAAAGGTGGAAGGAGAAGGGAAAAAATATTACCAGCAGCAAAATGTATGGATTTGATTGCAACAGCAGTGAATCAGTGGTGGGATTCAATTTTTTTTTACCATGGCATGGTTTAGTAGTCGTAGCAGGGAAAGGATACTGTAAAATCTCCATTCCCTCCCCACTCCAGGGGAAGGTTATAGTATATTTATCTTTGTATTTTGTAAGCTATGCAGAGTAAGTTAGACTCAGGTGGCCTATAGTTCATATAAATAAACTATAACAAAATTCTTGAATTTCCAGGCCCCAGAAGTTAGAAATGATGGAGATTTTGGAAATGCAGTTCTATGGCACTTTCCACCAATGGCCAGCCTTAAACACTTTCATTAAACAGACTCTCTAGAAAGAGTGCAGAGAAGAGCAATGAAGATGATTAGGGGACTGGAGACTAAAATATATGATGAAGAGTGCAGGAACTGGGCATGTCTAGCCTAACAAAGAGAAGGACTAGAGGTGGTATCATAGCACCTGTGGCAATTTTTGAGGGGCTGCCCCAGAAAAGAGGAGGTTGACTTAATCTCCAAAGTACCTGAGGGCAAAGAAGTTACGGATGGAAGCTTATCAAAGAGGGAACCAGCCTAGAATTGAGGAATTTCATCACAGTGAGATCAATCAGTGAAATGGCTTGCCCCAGAAGTTATGGGTGCTTCATCATTGGAGGTATTTAAGAGATTGGACAGCCATTTGTCCAGAATAATAGATTTTCTAAAATGAGCAAGGGGTTGGGTAGAAGACCTCCAATGTCCCTTGTTATTATGTATAGGTAGTTCTCGACTTACCACAGTTCAGTTAATGACCGATCAAAGTTACAATGGCACCAGTGGTCAGTTTCCATTTATTTTACTACTGGTTTGCTCGTGCGCATGCGCATAAGCATCTGGGTGGGTGGGCAGAGCCTCCCACCGCTGCCACTACTCGTTGGCCTGATCTGGGGCGAACCAGCAGAAACCCACCTCTGAATGGCACTGAAAAATCATTCTGATTTTTCTGATCATTTTTCAGACTTACGACCGTTGCAGCATTCCCATGGTCACATGATTTACATTTGGATACTTGACAACTGATTCACATTTATGACTGTTGCAGTGTCCTGGGATCACGTGATAACCTTCTGCAAGTTTCTGACAAGCAAAGTCAATGGGGAAGCCAGATTCACTTAACAACGGTGTTACTAATTTAACAACTGCAGTAATTCCCTTAACAAATTTGGTAAGAAAAGTCGTAAAATGGAACAAGATGCACTTAACACATTTCTCACTTAACTTAAATTTTGGGCTCAATTGTGGTCTAAATTGAGGACTACCTGTATTCCGATCCATAACTGAAGAACTCTTGTTAGGGAATTTTACCTGATATCTAACCATAAAAGTTTAAAAGTAGATAAAAGTTTAGACCTTCTACTGTTTTGGCAGTAAAGAAGCTGCTAAAACACAAGATAATGTGAGAAGCATCAGGCCATAGGTCTCTCTCTCTCTCTCTCTCTCTCTCTCTGCCTTCATGGCAGTGGAAGAGTGGATCATGTGATTTCATTGGGGGTGTTTTTGAAAGCCTCACAGATGTACTTTTCTGGAACTATGGTACAGCTTCTGGGAAGTCCAGATTGTGAAAACGTTTTTATGCAGTGGCTTAAAACGAATGTAACCTAAGCTGTTCTAACCAAATAATCAAAATGAACCACATGATCTATATTAACACAACGGGGGGGGGGGGGGCGAAAAGGGTGGATTTAGGATTCCAGGTGTCGAAAGCCCTGCAACTGGATTACAGTTAATTCTGTACATCGTACTTTAAGTGAACATATTAGAGGAGCGCCGGCGCCACAGGTTTTGGAATGAAGTCCCGCTGAGGTCCGCATGTATAAAACGCTTCCTTCAGCCTCCCGGGATGTGTGTTGCCTTGCTAATAATCAGGTTCCAATCGTACAACCCGCCTTCCTTTACTCAGCGGCTACTACTTCCATTGTCAAGAGGTCTGGGGCCTTTTGCCTTAGCCGCATCCCAGCTCTTTTCTCAAGAGGAAAAAACTCCCATTTCCAATTTTCACAATTCTCCTGGATTACTTCAAGCGACAGACTCCCTCCGTCTCTCTCTCTCTCTCTCTCTCTGTCTCTCTGTCTCTCTCTCTCTCTCTCTCTGTCTCTCTCTCTCTCTCTCGGCGCCTCCTGTTCCCGGAGATGCCCACCGCCCGCCCCTCCCTTTGCCGAGGTCTCCCCTGCATACTTGCGTCCATCTCTCTCTGTCTCGGGCGCGCATTTAGTACCCGCCCCGTAGAGCGGAGTCTGGAACGGGCGGCCGCAGCAAGCGCTCGACGCCAGCTTTCTCTAAGCAGAGCAACGCCCTTTCGGCAGCCGCCCTTCCCTCCGGCACTCGCCCTCGCCTGCCCAAGGGTTGCTTTGGTCCCCAGAGCCCGGGCGGGGCCCGCTCTCCGTTCACGTGGGCAAGAAAGGAAAGGGCGCCGCCGCTCCTGCCACCGCCAGGGAGACCGGCGCTGTTGTTTTCAAACCTTGGAGAGCCCGGGGCTCTGGGTCTATCTCCCCCACCCCACCCCATCTCCCCAGCTGCAGCAGGTACTTGCTGGCAAGCTCACTTTTTCCAAGCTGGAGTGAGAAAGAAAGAAAGAAATAAAGACAAGCGGCGGGGAGGAGGCTTCCTTTGTAGCCGTGCTGAAAACTCCATCTTCGGGGCATGGGAGCAAGTAAGTGCCTTCCTCATCCTCTCCCTTCCCGGTTTCCCTTCCCTTACGCTTCCCCTCTCTTTTTGGCTGGGGGACAGAGAAAGCTGCTCCCGGGGCGATGCTGGAGGAAGAGAGAGAAGTCACCCTAGCGCCTTTCATCGGCTCCAGCGTTAGTAGAACATCCCCAGTGTAACAGTAACAGAATTGAAGGGGACCTTAGAAGTCATCTATTCTAGTCCAACCCCCTGCTCGCACAGGAGACCTATACTAGGGATTCGAACCGCCACGCCTGCCCCGGTTTTTTGTCTGCTTTAAAAAACAACAACACCATGGCTCTTTTTCCAACACGGGTTGAGGAGCTCCTCTTCCCCACTTTTCTGAAGACGTCCTTGTTTTCTCTATAGGAGAGAGGGGGGAGGGAGGGAGGAAGCTTGGGAGGGGGTATAGGTGGAGCTACTCCCTTCTCATACCCTTCCTGGGTTGGTTGCTAAGCGCGGATGAACATGTTTTTTGAGAGACCCTTGGTAGGGCAGACAGAGGAATGCCCCACACTACCCCACCCCTTTCACCTTTCCTTTTAAAAGTTCTTGTCTTCTATTTACACCTCTGAAATTATCCACTGAGATGTTTACACTACTTTAATCCTGTATAAACAGCAACATTTTGTTCCCCTTTACTCTTCCCCCCCTCTCTTTGCGTCAACAACCAACTTGAAGGAGACCTGTGGAGAGGCAGAAAGTTTTCCCCGCTTTAACGATGTCTTCTTTCTTTTGGTTGATGATGTCTTCTTGTGGTTGATCCTGATAATGGTTGAGATTTTGGATCTGTCCTCTAAACAAATGGATAAAACTATTGGCCAGGATAAGGAAACTACTTTAGGCAACAAATATTGGGAGGGGATGTTCGGCGGGTCTTAATGGTGCCTTTTATTTTCTTGGATGGTGGACCAGGATGTGGCAGACAGACAGAGAGTCTGCAAGAAGCTTCTTGCGTTGATAAGAAAAATAAGAGTAGCTGCCAGTTCTGAAGGCTTCTGTCCATAAGACTGGAGACAGGCACCATCTTGTCTTTTTTTGGCAGGAGAATTTCCTGGAGTGGCCCTATTGGTGGACCAATATGGCTGGACTGCATTGTATTGGACAGATAAAAGTCTCATTTCACATGGCTCATTGTGTGTTCTTTTGTGTTTCAAGTGCATTTTAGTCCTGAATTTGCATGTTGTATGACGAAATGCAGGTTCTGAGGGTTAGGATTTTTGAATGCAGTACTCTGAGCGTAGCAACATATACAGATCATGGAACTGAAGTCTGCCTAAATAAGCTCCTGACTAGAAACCCTCTAGGTGCATGGAAAAAGCAAGACTGCTGTTATGTAGGAAGAATATCTAGAAAAAAGTGATTAGAATTCAGGTTTTACGGGAATTCTTTCTATTCTCAACTAGAATTTTGAAATCTATGAGACAAGAACCTGCTGCAGAATTCACATTTTTAATTTTGTTTTGAATAGCGTTTTAAGACAGCAGAAGCCCTTCCACATGCAGATTGTTTGGTAGTTATTTCCTATGTCATTTCCACAACATAATTTAGAACCAGAAAGATGACTCATAACACAAAATGGCCAGGATCAGTAGGAAGGTATCTTTGGGAAGTAGGAAGAAAAATATAGCTTTAGCTGTATTGTTCTGTTTGGAGGCTTTCCGGAGGTATCTGGTTAATAATCAGACTGCTTGAATAGCTTAGGTTAGAATCTAGTTGGAGCCACCTTTATCCAGGTTTTGCAACTTTTTTACATTAAGATGTATTAAAAACATAGCTTATTTGCCTGTATCTGTGTAAACCTCATGATGTTGTTCAGTTGCTAAGTCGTGCCTGACTCTTTGCGACACCATGGAACACAGCACAGTAGCCCCCATCCCCATCCTCCATTGTCTCCTGAAGTCTGCCCAAACCCATGTCCCATTGTGTCAAGGATACTGTCTACTATCTCATCTTCTTCTCCTTTTGCCTTTAATCTTTCTCAACATCAGGGCCTTTTCCAGTGAGCCCTCTCTTCTCATTTAGTGGCCACAGTATTTGAGCTTTAGCTTCAGTCAGGGTTGATTTCCTTTAGGATTGACTTCTTGCAGTGTAAAGCTCATAGGTTGTATAAATTGTACTTTATGAAACTTTATGTCCCAATGGAAGCCAGACTGAACAACTCTGTCCATGCTGTCAGATCCTGTTGAGTTCTGATTGAAGATTAGAGAAACTCACTGGTACAAATCTTAAGGACTATGAGTTCATAATTGCTCATAACGTTCCCCCCAATATAATTGTAACACAAACTGATAAGTCTCCAATGTGATTTTGTTTATTTTATTTTATTTATTTTATGTATATTAGTTTTAGAACTTTTTAATGCTAGTAGTAAATAATAGTGATTTTTATAATAGATATTTTAGGGTAGTATTGGCCAACAACTCTATTTGCTGGCATTTCTTTTTGGGATACTACAGACAAGGAGTCTCCTCTTCAGGGGTGAAATCAACTTACTTTTGCTAATGGTTCGCAAATGTGAGTGCACAGGCCCTTACGTGCATGCGCAGAGCATCAAAAAGGGGTGTAATAATCTCCAGATGGGTGGGCGGAGCCTCCTACCACTACCGCTACTGGTTCTCTTGAACCAGATAGAACCGGCTGAATAGCGCCATTGCTCCTATTGTTTTCCTTTGGTATTCCTATGGGGGAAGGATTGTTATTTTGGATTTCTAGGATGAATGATGTTCTATCCATTCTGATTTGTGGTAAACTGATTCTCAGAACAAAGTAAATCTACAATTTCTCCTGGCGCAAACTTGCAAGTTCTCCAGTTCTCTGATCCAACCTAACCCAAAGAAGTTCTTCATCAAGCCCGCAAACTTTTAGGGAGGTTCTTCCAGTTTCTCTTTAGCCAGAGCCTAAAAAGGAAATTTTCTAATCAGCATTTGCTTAGGAACAAGAATTTTGCCCCATTCATGCTAGAGTTTAAAATAGACTTCTCTGGCCATCATTGTGATGTTAGCAAAAATAAATAAAAAAACCCGCTACTGATTTCTTTGAAACATTTATTGGTTTATTGATTGATTGTGTTTGTAGGCCACCCCAGACTGCTACGACTCTGGGAAGTTTATATAATACAACAATAAAAATTGGTTTTAAAAATCAATGGGAAAATCCAGGAAACAAAAATAAATCCTCCTCTAAAAGACAAAACATTGCCCAAGGGTCCATCACCCACTTTGATCCAGGGTCTGAAGACAGAGTCATCTTTCAGGGGATCATTTAAACAGGGCGAGGATTGTATATATCTTGTGAGTGATGCTGTTCCAGAGGACAGGTGCCATGACAAAGAAAGGCCACTTCCTTGGTTCCATCAAAATAATTTTTTTAATGGAACCTAGACCACATTGTTTGGAGTGGATAAAACGATAGACTTTCAACATCATTGGAAATCATGGCTTTAACTGTGTTAAACCAAGATTCAATTAAAATAGGGGCTTTTAAGTAGAGTCACTACAGAGGAGACAACTCATTCTTCCTGTCTCAGTGCGGAGTTTGTTATCTTTAAAAAAAATCACCTTCTCAGTGCTTCTTACCTGATCTAAATAGACATGTTGAAAGTTTCATGATGTTGAAGTTGTTGTTCCTGTTAAGTTATAGTATTCTCCCGCTGAGCATTAACAGCAGTTCTTCAATCTTTAGCACAGAGTAACAGGTTTAAGAGATGAATAAAATACTTGATACCATCTTTGAGTCTTACTTGAGTTATCTGTGTTGTATTAACGCAGGAATACTAAATGCATATAAACCAGAAGAAAACATGCTTCTGCAATTCTGAGAGAAGATACTGTATGTTATGGAACTTCTAAAATAATCCTTTTCAGGGAAGAGAAAAACTGAACTGTTATAGTCATGAGAGTTTAAAATCCTGTTTTTAACATACAGCTGGACTAACGTTTTATTGCCCATGATACATTCCAGGTCATAGCATTCCAGAAAAATATAATGATGAACCATGCATCAGTTGGAGGACTTTCGACCTACCTAATATCATTATCATTTTTAACTGTTGTGAGAAAAAATAATATTTTTTAGAAGATGTTTTCTGGACTTTTGTTCCTTTGTTGCCCACCACTGAGTTTCGCAGACTAATTAATTACCACCATTTATTTCAACTGGCTCATTCTTCCTTTCCCACCATCCCTCCAGAAATAGGTGAAGTTATTGATCAGTGGTTGACCATTTCAGTTTGCAAATTTATATACCCATACTATAATCACGAGAACACTATTGCTTCAATCAATTGTATCCACAGTGGCAAAATAGTTCACACGGATTTTAACAGTAATGCTGGGCAACAAAGAAACAAGGATCATTTTCTACAATAGCCCTTGCAGTTATAGAAACTTGGAGCAATCACAATAACAGATCTAAATCCAAAATCAACCAAAACATCTCATCCCATATCATCATAATAAAGAAGCATTTCACTAACAGCAGGTGGTTCCTCCTTTAGAACAAGGATACATTCAGACTATTTCTCTCCAATATGTTACAGATTTGTCATATTAATAATTAACAAGAAGGTAGACTCTATGCACAATACAAGCAATTGCTTTCAATTATTGTGAACATAAAAATGCTACTTTTGCTTTTCTCTTAATCATGAATAAATAAATTCAAAGGGGCACTTTGCAAAGCATGTTGGCATGAACAAGCATTTCTCTTCAAAATATTGTTGCATTTCCTAGAAGGCTCAGGGTAATCTGCTTTAAAGACTTTCCTAAGTTGTCTGGCTGCATTGAGAAGACTCTTACTTGGACTGTCAGCAAAACAGCTGTGCACACATATGCTTGTGAAACAACCTAGGAAAGTTGCTGTGCAGATGAACCTTCTAGAAACCATGGCTGCCTCAGTATTTGGGATCAGTGATGGGGGAAATGATGCTTAATATCAGTGAACTATGTCCTTTGCATAGTGCTCCTTTTAATGCTTGCACAACCT